GGGGGGGGGGCGGGCTGGGCATGGTTCTGTATTCTCTCTCTCTTACATGCAGGCGGGGCGGGCTAGGCATGGTTCTGTATTCTCTCTCTCTCACATGCACACACACACACACTTGTGACAACTTTTTTTATCATTTGCTGTTTGTGGGGCAGGGCGGGGCGAGGCGGCTGGGGGGAGGGGGAAGGGGGGGAGCAGCGTGCTGGCTGTGCGTGTGTCGATCGCTGGTTTGTTGTGTGTTGTGTGCGTGTGATGTATGTATGCCTTGTGTTGTGTGCTAAGGTGTTTTCTGTCAATCGTACTGGGTGGGGGATGCATACGGGCGCGAATGTGACTGCGCATTGGTTGGTTGTCTGTCGGTTGTCGTGTGTATGCGTTGCGATGCGTTGCGGGTGCGTGATCGACCCTTTTCCCACTCATTTATAAGAAGTGAGAGTGAGTGTCCTGCCTGCGTGAATGCAATGCGTCAATGTATGCGTGCGTGACTTCATCTGATCCATCGCTGATTGATTGCCCCCATATGTCGTGTACACATCTTTTGTTAGCCAGGGAGGGATGGGGTTGTGACGGGACACGAGAGCATGCAGGCGGCCAGGCGCGTGCCCCACTCACCGAATGCCAATGGTGAGACAAGGGGCCCCCTGTGCGTGATGGGATTTGAAGCCGCAAGATACATCCAGCATTTGTGCGCGGGGCGGGGCATTGGATGGGGGGGGTCCGAACATTTTGTAAAAGCAAAATGGGCCCGAACAGGGAGAGAAAGGGGGAGAGGGAGAGAGAGAGAGAGGGGGAGGTGAGCGTTGCATTGCACTCCCTTGAGTGAACTCACGTGTTGGTTGGTTGACCGACACGGAAGCGAACCCTGTAGATTTTTTTCGTGTTGCGGTGTGTGTGTTGTCCGTGCTTTGCTTTTCTCTCTCCATCAATAAATAAGGCAGACAGAGTGCGGTTTTCGCTGGTGTTAATTGGCCTTTCAATGCATTCAATGTGCGGTTCCGTTTCCTTCCCTTACTGTGTTGTAAACTGACTTGAGTGTTGTACATACCCACTAGGTAGCCACTTATGTGTATGCATACACCACGATGGATGGATGGATGGATAAAGTGTATAACCCCATTTGCGTCTTTTGTTAGCTACTTCCTCTGACTGGTTCGCTGCTCCCCAACTCGGCTGCTCACTGTCTCGGTGCATGTCTCATGTTTCACACTCACTCCCAGATGGACAGCCACTGGCTGGACCGGCTTGGCTTGGCTGGTTTGGCTACGCAGGCAGGAAGGCAGGACCCAACACAGCATACATTATTTGTGCGGATGTGCGGATACGGAGGCGTATTGACTACATATGTGTATCTACTACTGACTACATCACTGTGATGTGGTGTGGTGCCGTGACAGACAGGCGTTGGCCGCTGCGACCGATCGAGTGACGCTCCATCAATCATTTTTCCATCAACTCAGAGAGAGAGGAGGATGCATGAACACGACCTGACTGACACGGATCGGATACTCGCTACGGACACAGAAGTACGGGTCATGCGAACGCCACTGTAGCCGCCTCGTGATGTAGTGTGGAGAGATGGAACCTCTCGTGTCAGCCCGTGACAACGGAGCGGGCAGGACAGGTCACACTCTTCCGGCGCATTTCATGAAGCGGCCAAGGGCGATATGGCTATACGGAGTACAGATGGATGGATGGAATACGGTGCAAGGCCTACTCCTACCTGCTGCCGCTTTGGCATGTGCGTGTGTGTGTACGTGATGACTGACGTTTCGCTCTTATGTTACGTTTGTGTGTTGCCGAGAATTAGCGAGCATCGGAGGTGGGCGATAGATAAGATGGGCCCGGGGGGGCGTTATGGGGAGGGAGGGGGTCTATGATGGATGGATGGATGGATGCACAGCGTATAGCGCTTCTTCGTACGTACCCCATCTTAGCTACCTGCCTACACTTCTACGACGATAGATGGATGTATGTCTGTGGTCCGGTGTCCCTCCCCTGATGATGAGAGTTTCTTGCCGGGGAGAGGGGCACACACACGGACAGACAGACAGACAGACAGACAGCCAGACAGCCAGACAGATCGACCCCTGCCTCCCTGTAGATAGCTACTCATACATGCGGGCCATCGACACGTCGATGCGACGCGCTCCTACTCCCTGCCTGCCTGCCTGCCTGCCTGCCTGCTTACCTACATGCCTGCCAGTCTTGTTGGCCAGTCTCACTCGTAGACGAATTCACGCGCGCACCCCTCCATAAATGAGGGTTTTGCGTGTGCGCGGGGATGACCTACTACCAGTGCCCTTCCTGCCTGCCTGCCTGCTGACCGATACTCTCAATTGACCGACTGCATATCCATCTGTTGAGTGCTTCTCGTGAGGTGAGTGTCAGAGACGATAGACAGCATGATGATATTAACTACTCGACCAAACAAGTTAAATTCCCTGACTGTTTCCTGTCCGGGCGAGAGGTCAGAGAACAGCGAACGAGTCGTCACTGTACGTGTAGCAGCACACAGCAACGACCCAAAAGCCAACCCAGCCATTGTTGGCCAGCATCGGGGGGGGGGGG